ATTCTATTTTAGATTCGTTGATTTCTATTTCCATTTAATACACATTTTAAATTATCATGACTGCTCTTCGAGTTTTTCCATTTATTGGTGCAGTAGTTGCTATTGCTGCAGTTGTATTATCAATTATCGGTATATCAACTACTTATTGGTGGTCAGCTGGTCCTAATCATTCAGGTAAAATTAAAATTAGTTTTTCCGTTGCTAGAACCAGAGAAAAAATATGTTGATTTTTTATGATTAGGTCTTTGGCAAAAATGTCCACTCGGAATTTGCATTCGAACTGAAGGTGGCCGACCAGCAGCTATGGCTCTTGCTGTATGTGAAATATTCCATTTTTGTAATTTTATTTTCTATTTAATTTATTATTTAGGCTGTAATTGCTATTGGTGTTGCTGCTATTTTGGCTATTTTCAGTGGTTTAGCACGTAATAAATCAGATGCAAGCAATAATACCGCTCGTCTCTGTGGTATCATCTCAGTTATCTTACTTTTTTCAAGTGGTGTTCTTATTGCTGCAGCACTTTATACATTTGTTGCTGCTGAACATCTTACTGGATACTCATTTACACTTATGGCTCTTGCCCAATTTTTGAGCTTTCTTGCTGCTATGCTTGTTGCTCACTGGATGGTAAGAAGAAATTATATTACCTCAAATAATAGTTTTTAATTTTTTTTTTATTCTAGGGTCATTCATTTACTGTTATCAGTTAAATGAATTATATGAAGATGAATTAAAGAAGAAAACTATTTTGTAAATTCGGAAGCTAAGATGTTGAATAGCTTTCGATCATTTTCTTTTCTTTGTTTTATTCATTCTTTATCGAAAAAAGTTTGTTTGTTTGTTTTGGTAAATCCTGTTCTCTTTCTTCTATTGCATCTAACTCAGCTAGAAAATCTATATATTCTTTTCTCATTGTGTTTGGTTCATTATTATGTGTGTATGTGCGTATTGTTCTTTTTTTTGTTGTTCTATTAATGAAAATACAGAACATTCTCTATATACATGAAAATTACAATGAAATTGAAAGGAATATTTTTTGAAGCGGATCTATTAGAGAACAAATTTCTGCATATATTTAATATAGATGTTTTGCTTCAGTGCAAGCGAGAGTCAAAGGTCATCGAGTATGAATAGATCGCATGCGATCAAAGCTAATTAGTAGTAGACTTGTTTTTCTATGGTTTGTTAGCATCGAAGATAAAATGTGAACGGCATTATTAATAAGTCTTTGATTATTTAAGTACATCTAATAAAAAAAATACATCGATTGAAATATAAACGTTCGAAAGAAATATTTTGGAATGTTGTTCTAAATAATGATATCCCCGATTTTTTTTTACAGATAAACAATGGTATAATGGATGCCATCGATGGCAAACAATGTTTTAGGACTGGCAGAAAAAAAACATAGCAGCAGATTAAGATATGCTATGGAATTATAGGAATGTAGATATAGAATGTTTATCTGTCGATGGAATTCATGTTTAAAAGAATAAAATAACAAGTACATAATAATAAGACGGACGATTTTCTCGATAATTGATGATCATTAAAATGAAATTATCACCTTCAAGAGATTTTTCACTTGATATATTTTATAATAAATTTGAAGCAGATGTATGAATTTTATATATGATAATCTACCAAAGATTGCATCGAATAGTTCTTGATGTAATGAAGCTATACAATCAAATTCAATATTTTATTAGAATAAAATTAGTTGAAAACCTCTTATTTAATAATATTCAATAGAATGTATTTTAATGCCAAAAACGACTTTCAATTAATAATTATGATCATTTCATATATATAAGTAATATTCGTTAAAAAATGCATGATGTTCTCGTTTTACAATTTTTTCTCTTGATAGTATCATGGGAACTATATGTGAATATACAATATTTAATTACTAGAAGTCATCGATTAATTTTTACGGACATTTACTATTCTTTTTCTATTAATATATAAATAGCACAAAGTTGTTTATTCTCATGAGATATATTAATTTGTACTACAGATACCATTTACTAATTTATTTCTTTAAATAACAAAAAACTTCAAAAAAATTTTCATTAATAAAATTCAATCAAAAACATTATAATAATAAAAAAA